AGGTTGTAAATCGTGTTTTTAAAAAGTAACTAAGTAATTAAGTAATTAATTACTTTTGAAAATAAGTAATCAGTAAAGTAACTGGATTACTTTTTTGGGGAAGTAATCAGTAATTAGTTACTGATTACCCACGATCACACACGTCACAGGTTTTCAGCAGCCTGTCACCTGGTTTGGCTCAAGTGTTAAACGGTTTGTTTGGGGTTTGAAAAAGCCACGTTTATTTTAAAGCTTCGTTTGAGCCTCCCCACTGGCTCAACCCCAGATTTGTGCTTCTCACATAAAACATATTTCCTGTTGAAACACTTTATTACATTATTATTATTGTGTGAAATAAAGAGGAGACAATAGATTCACTAGATGATGATTTAAAGAGCTGAGACTGGGCTGCTGTAACAGTGATTTCCCATCTTTGGGATAAATAAAGCACATCTTACTTTATTTGATCTTATATCTTTACAAAATGATGATATATTTGGTAATTTGAACACGCAGACACGTTTCATTGAGTTTGACGTCGCTCATCTTACATTCAATTAACAAACATTATTAATATAATAACAATATTCTGTTGTTTTTTAATGTTCAAGCTAAATTTGGTGAAAGCAGATCTACATTTTCTGCTCCTAATAATAATAATAATAATAAATGAAGCGCCACAAACGGAGTCATCTCCTGCGCTGCAGCGCTGTGCGAGGACATAAATCCTAATAAGTCACACAGATGTGTCTCTTCGTGCGATGATTCACTGCAGTCTTGGAGAAAAAGCTGACGAAGCAAACTGTGCTGCTCATTCAAGTGACTGAAACGTTATACACCAAATCCACATTAACATGAAGGAAGCTGTTAACAAGAAGCCGCCTGTGTGTGCGCGTGTCACCGATTTTAAATTCTGCTGTTCGCCGTGTTTACAACGGCCGCGATGACGTCTGACATCTGAGCGCTGAAACGTTCGAACGAGATTATAGGACAGAAGTCGGGACAGAAACCTGTTGGTTTACCGACAGTTTTGCAACCTTCATCTTTTCAATTTTACGGCGACATGTTACTATAAACCTGAGCTACTCTAGTTCTTATATTTATCATTGATTGATAAAAATGGGACTAGCTTTAGCTTTTTGTAACTAGACATCACAGGCAGAAACCAAAGGACACTCTAGAGCGGTCCAAATTCATGGGCTGCATCCTCCTAAGGACCCGGCCTTCGCGGTCTACGTAGGCCGGGTCCTCAGAAGGTCGGGAGTAAACGGCTGTGAAAC